TCTACAGAGATACTTTTATTTGCACCTGACCTTACTGTCAGCGTTTACTCGCTGTTAATATTAAGCCTGGAGAATACACAGGACTGACAGCCCGAGGAATCGCCGTGTTTGGACTTGCACACTGTAATTTATTTGCTGTGGGGCAGGAGAGCCGCTGAGTATTATCTGTAACACACTCCGACACAACACAGTGCATGCTTAGTGTCTGTAAATTGGTGAAATAGCATTCTGCCACTGATCTGAGGGCACAACAAACTCCCACAAAATGGCACAGAGCTTGGTCAACCGCCACACAGAGGATGACAATAAATTACTTTTAATTACGTCCTTTCAGCCACCTCCAACAGTGTAACCTTGGAGTACCTTCACATACAGCTGTGAGGTGGGGGGTGAGGGTTCCTCCTTGTGCTTAGGCAATATTACAATTTTTACAGATCGTTTCTTTCGGAGGTATCTCCTGCTTTGAGAACCATGCCTTTTTTGATGCAGTCCTGTTTACTTATAAAATATTAGATGTATAAATGAAGTCACGTCATCTTGGATGCAGAAGAAATCAGCAAAGGACTCATCAATCTTCCCAGCCTCTCTCCAGGCATTGCCTTTCCCAAGGCGATGCAAGAAATGCCACTCTTGCTGCCTTCTGCTCTGGGAAGGGCTTCAACGCGGAAAGCATGACCGAAAGCATTACGAGTTTACTGCTTGGCGTCTGAGCAGCAAGCGCTGGGTTGCATGATTTTAGCCTGATTTAGCTGTGAATTACAGTGTGTTGGAGGCAATGGGCTGGTATCGACCATTTCTGTCTGCGTGCGGAAGGAAAGACTAGACCAGCATCTTCTGATCTTTCTCCACAGAGGCATCATTTGCTTTAAATGAAATGAACTTAAAAGCCAGATAATTTTCCATTACATAAATAATTAAACCATGAGATTCATTATCACGGGCCACACCCGAGGCCACGAACTCAGCAGCATTCAGAAAGGGATTCAGCATTTGTAAGAATAGCAAAAGTATACGAAGCTATCGATAATGCATAGCCACGAATTTGAAAGGCGTAATAAATCTTGCAATTCCAAACTTGTTCAGATCTCTTTTATAAAATCAAAAGTTGCCAGCCACCAGGGATAAGTTCTCTCCACAAGCGTCCGTACCACATAACCCTTTTTCAAGGCTGGAGCCTGCGAACTCCCTTGAAGCAGCTGGTTTTCCTTGTTGCCGGTCATAACCAAGTAAATGAGCCTGTACGTTGATGCAGATTTTGATAGGATTTGGGTTTTTGCTAAAAAATTAAAAGTATGTTTTCATATCCATAAAACCACAGTGAAATGAAAGAAAATTGTTGCTGCTTTATAGTTGAGATGTTTTATACCACAAATATTCAGTGTTAATTCAAGAAATGAAAAACAAAAATCATGTTCAAAAGCGTATGTTCATCACCAATGCGAGTGTTGAAAGACAATGCATGACTTAGAAGAGCTATTATTAGTAATAATATTTGCATTTTGATAACACTTCTCTTCTTAGCTGTTTAAATGCCACACAAGCGTCAGTGAATTAAGCCTCCCAGAAACCCCACGAAGCAGGACAGTGTTTTCTTCCACTTTACAAGCGGAGGAGGCAATGTCCAAGTCCTTGCAGCGTTGCGAGCCCTCTCGTTTCCAATGGATGCAAAGAAGGGTGTTTCCTAAATTGCTGCATCATGCATTTTACTACGCGTGTCAGCAAAGTGGCTATGAATCCGTCTCACTAATGCTGTGTGTTCGCATCCAGCTGTTGATTATCAGCAGAATTAAATCAAACAAAAGAGCCACTAGATGGAAGTCTTACATCTCTTCTTCTCAAGCCTCGAAAAGGGCTTTCACAACTCATGCAAATCAGGGAGAATTTTTCAGGAAACCTGGTTTCTACATAGAAGCTACCGTGTAATTATTTATCCTTCAGGTTCACTGTCGGATTTAAAGCTCATTTCCAGGAGGGTGAAAGGCTAATGCCTGCTGGCTCCCACTACAACACTCGTCCCTGAAGCCTTCCAAACATTAGACGTTTTTTATACCATTTGTACTTAAACAGCACGGTTCAGGTTCGTGTGCAGTTTTGGAAAGCCCTGGACTTTCTCACCGAATATTTGGCTTTAGCTGCCGGTCTATGAAGAGGGAGTCAGGTATTAACAGAGTCCTCAGGAATATGGTACCAGGGCTCAGGTAGAGACATCCACTTGTGGGGCAGGTAAGAAGCCACCTCAAATGCTTCAACAAAGCCACAAGATTACTACTGAAAAACACTTTTAAACCCCAGTTTTCCTCTGCATAGAGGCAGAAATCCAGGCAGTGGAAAATCACCAGCTACTCCCTGCTTCTACTTTCGATGCAGCCCAAAAGCCATTTTACACAGAATTCAGGCTCTAACCTTAGCCATTAGCACACCTCTGAGTGGCACTGGGCAGCTCACAAGATTTAATGTTACTTTTGCTCGTGGGATGTTCCCAGTTCCCTCAAAGACGTTAATTTTCATCAGACTTTAGGTCAGATGTAGTAACCGCAGGGGCTCATTGCCAGAGGCAAATGGGCTTGTTTTGACAGGGCAGAGCAAATCATGGGACAGCGTTTCTGCTCCCTGATTTGAGTCAGGAAAAAAAATAAAAGTTTCTCTGACAATCTACACAGTTATAAATTGGCAGGAAGACAAAGTAATTTCTGTAGGAAAAAAAGGAAAGGAAAAAAAAAAAAGAAGAAAAAAAAACCAACCAAAAATGCAGAGCTTGGATCAAAGAACTGCCTCTACCTCCATGCTGCTGCCATGTAAAAACTAAAGGTCTTTTCTCCATCTTTCAGGAGAAACTCGTGTCTCTTGGTGCAAGGGAACCCAAGGACTGCAGAAAAGCACGACCCCAAAATCCCGGCTCTGCCCAGCCACTCTGAAATGCTGCAGAAGGGACGCCCCGGGGGTTGGGGAGTTAGGCCAGTGCTGGCAAAGCAGGGTTGCACAAAAGCAGAGAGAAGGAAAAAAAGGAGTTGAACGATGAAGATGAGCCAGTTCTGTGTGCAAGAGAGCACATAAAGGTCCTCTGTACTCGTGTGCTGCACAGCCGGGGCTGGCTGATGTTTCCTCAGATACCATCTCTGCCCACACCTGTAGCTTCTGTAACACCTCTGACTCCTGCGCGTTCGCTGCGCTCTCGAATTTTCTGACACCTAAACTGGGGCTTTTTTGCTCAGTGGTGGCATTCACAGGAACTGTCTCCTCTGTCTACATGCCATTTTCAGGAAATGTGTTGGAACTGCGTGTCCCTAACATGGCCTATCCCTCTGTCATATCGGTTGGACTTGGCCAAGAAATCCCAGTTATTAAAGAAAAATTGGCCGCCCATGCAATGGCATGAGTTCTGTTTCCTTTGGAAGACAAGCTGAGCA